GGGCGGGCGGTGGACCCCGCCTCCCCAGCGCAGCCGGCTGAAGGGAAAAGGGGGGTCTTGAGCGCTCCTTCGGGGCGCGCCCTGACGGAAGCCCAGCGCTTAGGGATGGAGGGTGCGTGCGACGTGACTGGACAGGTGTGAAGATGGGAATAAGGGCCGGGAGGTGGGAGTGCTCTGACTTGCCGGGATTCCGCCAGGGATGTAGGACTCTGGCTGCTCACCGGGCACCTGCATGAAGACTACATTACCCGAAGTACTCAGCGGCAGCCGGCGTCTGCGCACGCGTATCCCGCCGGCCGGGGGCGGGGCTGGAGGTGGGGAAGCACCGGCTCCCAGAGTTGATGTATATGGTGTGCGCCTGTGAGGCTCCCGCGTACTCTCTGTAGCGAGGGAGTAAAGCTGATTGATTTGGTGCCTAGCCTGAATGCCAGGGTTGCGGGCCTTGGTGTTGTGACGCTCCACAAATCCTCCAGTTGAAGAAGACCCGTCGAGCTGACTCTTCCCAGGGTAACGTGTTCTCTCCACTCCTATTCCCGCAGCTCCGTCCCTCGGGATTGTCATTCTTAGCTTCTGACTCTTGCGGGTGTCCAGATCCTCAGAGCCAGTTTCTGGACTGTATTTGGGGGATTCCTTAGGGTGGTCCCCCTTTCCTCTGCGGAAAAACACCTCCAGATGGTGGGCAGGCCGTCTCGGAGCTTCTTTTCGTCAGAAAGTGTATTTACCCGCTCACTAGTAGTCTATGAAGTGCCCTTAGGAGCTGTCTTTCAGATAAGGCCTTTGTTATTACTGCAGAAATACAGCCACTCAAGGTGCACAGAACGAAGTCGAGGGAAATAACCTGGTAGCTATCATTTAGCAAGTTCTGTTGGATTTCTTGAGTCAAATCATTCCGTATTTGATGACTTTTTCTGGTCGTATGCCAGTTGTTCTCTGCATAGGTTTGATATGTAAAAATTCTACTCCCAGCTCGGAAGGATAATAAGGTCTTTAGGATGCTAATTTAGGAGGCTGACGATCAGAGTAATTTAGGCTTTGCATGTTTATAGTCGATGCACTATACAAAAGTGGGTGGGGGTTAGGATGGGGAGTGCAGTTTAGATTATGATATTCCTGAATATCCCCCGCGCCCCTTCTCCTTTCCTGGTGTTGGGGATTCAAATAGGGACGGCCTCCTGTCTCTGAGGCAAGTGCTCTACCACTGAACTACTTACCCCGTCAACCTTATATTAATAAATTCAACATGTATTTATTGAGTGCTGCTCCTAGGCACTAGAAGTACCAACAGTGAGTGAAACAGAAAGATCTTTTTACTTTTAGATTTCACATTTTAGTGGAAAGAGACATGCAAAAAGTAAAACGTGTAGTATGTCAGAGGTGAAAAATCTTATGGAGAATGATAAAGAGGGGTGAAGAGTGTGAGGAGGATGGGAGCTGTTATTTTACAGTAGGTGTTCAGGGAAGACCTCACTGAGAAGGTAATTTTTTATTACGAATGGAAGGAAGTGAGAGATTACCTTACGGTTTTCCAAGGGGAACGAAAGTGCAAAGGTCCTGAAAGCATCTGCTGATTTGTATTCATAGGTCAGCTTAGGACACCAATCAGTAAGCGAGAGTAGGGTGAGATTGTAGGGCAAGAACCATAAGTGAGAAGGTCATATTGGAAAGAGCAGGGGAGAGATTGTGTAGGCTTTCTGTACTATATCGGAGATTTGAATTTTCATTCTGAGGAAGGTGAAAAGCGATTGGAAAGTTGTCAGAGAAACTCATCTAAATTATCTTTTAAAAATTGTGGTAAAATGTATGTAACAAAATTTGCCAACTTAACCATTTTAGTTGTGCAGTTTGTGACATCACAGCATCTTGTGTAACTGTCACTACTATTTATTTCCAATTTGTTTTTGTTTTTTAATTTGTTTTTGCTTTGGGCTTTACCACTGAGCTACACACATCTTGAGCCATTTCCAAACCTTTATCACTCCCAGCAATGTCTGAGTCCCTTTGGCAGTTCTTTTTTATTTTTCTTAGTACATATTCGTGATACATAGTGACTATATTCAGCTTGCAGGTTCGATAGATTTACATACCACATTTTGATAATTTTTTTACTCCCCCTCTTCAGTTCTTTTGGGTATACCTAGGAATGTTTTTATGCGGGGAGGGAATGGGGATCAAACTCAGCACCTTGTGCTTTTGAGGCAGGAACAGTGGATAGAATGCGGGTCCTTGCGCTTGCAAGGCAGGCAGCAGAACCACTGAGCTAAATCCCTGGCCCTGGACTTTTTTTTTTTCCTCATTGAGTTTATTGGTACATTTTAGGTATACAGTACAGTTACCTTCACCATTGGGATCTTGTACCTTTACATGACAGGTCTTGGTTCTCATTTTTTCCCCTTGTCCCTGCCCTCTCTCACCCCCTCCTCCCTTCCCTATTTACAAATACTTTATTTCCATTTTTTAATTTTCTCATGTTTTTTTTTCTTTTCCCTTATTACCTTTCCCCTACCATTCCTGCTTCCCCTACACCTTTAGCCCTTTTTTTCCTATTTCACATTGTCAGTTATATCATTAGGGTCTTATATACCATTATAGTTTTTCACACCAGAGAAACTATTTGGTATTTATACATGTGTGACTTATTTATTTTACTTAGGAGTATATCCCCAATATGTATCCATTTTCCTATGAATGACTCTAGTTTCTCATTCTTTATGGCTGAATAGTATTCCATCTTATAGAAAAACCACATCTTCTTTATCTGGTCTCCAACTGACAGGCAAATGGGCTGTTTCCAAGTTTAAGCTATTACAAACTGTGCCGCTATAAACATAGGTACGCATATATCACTGTGGTATGATTCTTTTAATTCTTTTGGAAAGATACCCAGCAGAGGGATGGCTGGGTCCAATGGAACCTCTAATCCCAGCTCTTTGAGGTATCTCCATATTGATTTCCATAGTGGTTGCACCAGGCTGCACTCCCACCAACAATGGAGAAGGGTTCCTTTCTCCCCACAACTCTACCAACATTTGTTATTGGTTGATTTCTTGATAGCAGCCATTCTTTTTGGGGTGAGGTAGAATCTCAGTGTTGTTTTCATCTGCATCTCTTGAATGACCAGTGATGTGGAAAGTTTTTTCATTTATTTACTTGCTGCTTTTACTTCTTTGTCTGAGAAATGTCTGTTCATTTCAGATGCCCATTTTTGAATTGGGTCTTTATATTTGCGGAGGCTAATTTTTTTGAGTTCTCTATATATTCTAGATAATAGTCCTTTGTCTGAGGAGCAGCTGGTAAATTTTTTTTCCCACATTGAGGTTGTCCTTTAGTTCTGTTGATGGTTTCTTTTGTGGTGCAGAAGCTTTTTAATAAGATGAGATTCCATTTGTTGATTCTTTCTGCTACTTCCCATGCTACTGAGGATTTGTTCATAAAGTCTTTTCCTATGCCAATGTCTTCTAGAGTTCTGCCTGACGTATCTTCCAGCAAATTGTGACTCTTTTTTAATATTTAGATCTTTAATCCACTTTGATTTTAGTTTAGTGCGTGGTGAAAAATAAGGGTCAAGTTTTAATCTTTGGCAGGTTGAAATCCAGTTTTTCCAACACCGTTTGTTAAAGAGGCTATCTTGTCTCCAGTGAGGATGGTTGGCTCCTTTGTCAAAAATGAGGTAGCTGATTGCTGGGGATTTAGTTCATTGTTTCTGGCACCTGCCTCACAAGCACAAGGACCTGATTTCGATACCTGGTACCCACCCCTCGCCAAAAAGATGAGGTAGCTGAGTACATCTGGAGTTTTTTCTGTATCTTCTAAACTATTCCACTGATCCTCAGGTCTGTTTCTTTGTCAGTATCATGCTGTTTTTATCACAGTAGCTTTGTAGTATAGTTTCAAATTGGGAATTGTTATACCGCTGCCATGTTTCTGTTGCCTAGGATGGCTTTTCTTATTCTAGGTCTCTACTGGTTCCAAATGAATTTTGGATTCTTTTTTCTAGTTCTGTGAAATACAGTGTTGGAATTTCAATTGGCATTGCATTGAATCTGTATAGTAGTTTTGGTAGTATGGCCATTTTCGCTATGTTGATTCTTCCTACCCAGGAGCAGAGAATATCTTTTCATTTTCTTATATCCTCTTTGATCTCTTTTTTCAGAGTGCTGTAGTTTTCAGTGTAGAGGTCTTCTGCTTCTTTTGTTAGGTTGATTCCTACATACTTCATTTTTTTGGATGCTATGGTGAAAGGAATTGTTTCCCTAATTTCTCGCTCAGGAAGTCTGTTATTTGTGTACAAGAAGGCTATTGATTTTTGAGTGTTGACCAGCTACTCTGCTAAAAGTGTCAATTAAGTCTAGAAGTCTTTTGGTGGAGTTTTTTGGGTCTTCAGTGTAGAGTATCACATCGTCAGCAAGTAATGACAGTTTAACTTCTTCCTTTCCTATCTTTATTGCTTTAATTTCTTTCTCTTCTCTAATTGCTGTGGCTAATGTTTCCAGAATTATATCGAAGAGGAGTGGTGATAGTGGGCATCCTTGTCTTGTTCCTGATTTTAATGCGAAGGTTTTCAGTTTTTGGCCATTTAATATGATGTTGGCTGTTGGTTTTTCATAGATAGTCTTCATTAAATTGAGATATAGACCATCTATTCCAATTTTTTTGCAGGTTTTTTTAATCATGAATGAATGTTGAATTTTGTCAAATGCTTTTTCTGCATCTATCGAGAGGATCATATGGTTTTTGTTCTTGACTCTGTTAATATAGTGTATTACATTTATTGACTTATGTATGTTGAACCATCCTTGCATCCCTGGAATAAATTGACTTGGTCAGGATGTATGATCTTCTTGATGATCCTCTGTTTTCTGTTTGTTAGTATCTTATTAAGGATTTTTGCATCTATATTCATTAAGGAGGTTGGCCTGTAGTTCTTTTTTTTATTGGGGTCTTTCCCTGGTTTGGGAATCAAAGTAATACTTGCTTCCAGGAATGAATTTGGAAGTATTGCTTCCCTTTCAATTTCATTGAAAAGTTTAAAGAGTAGTGGTAGTAGTTTTTCTCTAAATGTCTTCAGCAGTGTATCCATCAGGACCTGGGCTTTTCTTTGTTTGTGTGAACTTTTAATTACATTTTCAATTTTACTGATTGTAATTGGGGTGATTAAAATTTTTTTATCTTTTTGTTCATGTTTGGTAATTCATAAGTATCTAGAAATCTGTCCATTTCTTCTGTGTTTTCCATTTTATTAGAGGTTTCTCAAAGTAGGTATTGACGATCTTCTGGATTTCTGTTGGATCTGTTGTAACTTCACCTTTTTCATTCCTAATTGCATGGATCTGAGCCTTTTCTTTCCTTTTTTTTGATAAGGTTAGCTAAGGGTTTATCGACTTTATTTATTCTTTCAAAAAAACCAACTCTTTGATTCATTTATTTTTTGTATCATTTTCTTAGTTTCCATTGTATTAAGTTCTGCTCTAATCTTTATAATTTCCTCTCTTGTATGAACTTTGGGTTTT